CTTCAAGATTATCTGCTAATCTGCCTATTCCAAATAAAATCAGTTAGTTTTCCCTTCCCAGAGAAGCCCTGCTAGCTTACCCTTCCAGAATTCTCCACTAGCCTGTCATCATTTTCCCTAGCGCATCTGCAACATTTTTTCCACAAAATCTCCGCTAGCTGGCCCTTCATCAAGATTCGTGGCTCTGCTGCTTGCCCTTAAAAACCCCCGGATAGTCTAGTTTCTAAGTTTCTAACAATTCCGTCTCTGCTAGCCTGGCCTTTCATGAATAACTCCCAACAACTCTGCTACTCAGTCCTTAAGTCTATCTACTGACACACCCAAAGAATCCCAGCTAGCCCACTGATCTCCGATTTTTGTCATTATCAATTCCTAATCAATATTTTTCGTCTCGTTCCAGCCGTTCGATTTCAGCCCCCCATTTCCCGGTACAAGATTGACTCGGGTCGAGCCGTCAGCGTGTGCAATTTCCGCTCGCTTGAACGACTTGTTTATTTCATCGAGTGGCTAGACTTTACCCATCCCAACCTTGGGTTCAAACTGAAAAACACGGAATTTAGCACCCAATCCGCATGTCTGTAGTCTGACGGATATCTTGCTTAGCTGCTCAAAACAGATAGATAGGTTGCTTTTCGTGCCATCCCTCATGCCATTTTTCTTTTTCGGCCGTTTTCGCCGAAATGTGCTACCAGATCAGTGCATGGCAAGTGCCGTTTGATTTGTTAAAAAACGGGGCTTGAACCTTCCCTAAGCAAGCTTTATTCCGCAAGCAATTTTATCGCATTTCCTTCAAAACTACAGGTTTTAATGGAGTGATCGGGGGCTTTTATGCTACCAATTTCATCACGATGTATTTTGATTACCTGTTACTCATTCAATAGAAATTCCCGGAACGTGGAGATCGAACTTTTGATAGTAACTTTCTCAGAAAAAAGCACAGGAAAAAGTGAGAAGAAAGAGACGGAATTAGCATCCGGCAAAGACACATTTCTGAGTAGGGAGTGGCTGTGATGACGTAGAGAAGCTATTTTTGATTTTCCGTCCCTTTGGCTCTCTCGGTCTCTCTCTCTCCCTTTCTCTCTCTCTCGCTCTCTCGCTCCCTCTTCCTCGATATCTCGCTTTTTCTCTCTATCTCTCTCGCTCGCTCTCGCTCTCGCTCTCGCTCTCGCTCTCCCTCTCTCTCTCTTTCTTTCCCTCTTTCGTCCTCTACCTTTCTCGATATCTCTAAATATACGCAAAAACCGTACATGTCTACTTCTCAACACCTAGACCCCCCTTTCTCGCCGTTCTCAAATTGACCTTGGAGAAGCCCGTCAGTTGCCTGTCGGTTTGTCTATCATTGCCCACTTCCTCAATCTGATTTCAACCAATCTTTATGTTTATATTACCGTCGTCATCGTCTTGTTTTCCCACGGTTCCACTTTCCATGCCATCTCCAACTGATCGAGATAGAGCTCTCGCCCCCAGCAGCCCAAATAATCGAATCAGCTCCACGCCCCGCGCGTAGTATCCCTGTTTTTCGAATTATCGATTTTGGTTGGCGGATTGATATTAAGACTACAGTGTAGTAAAGTAGAGAACAAACTTGCTTACGTTTTCCGATACCATATGCCAGCGGCGTCTTGCCGATACGGGTATACTACGCGATACTACCCTTTCCAGCTCTTCGGCTTCAAGTCTATGAGTGAAAATCGATCAAGATTCATACCGAATTCTGTTCTTTGTTAATTTTTCTTTTATTTAATTTATTAAACGTTCCTTGATCTTCTCTATCCTATAAATTTTTCTTTTTTCAGATGGGCCTCTACGGCCCGTGGTCACCCTACGGGCAAACGGGTCGAATAACGCGGCGGCTATTCTATTTGGCAAATTTGTTAACGTTGGTAAGTATTTGGGACCGAAAAATTCCTTATTTTTAGTTTTTCTCCCTCGCGTGTTTATCCTACGGCGCATGGCTCGTCCACAATAGAAGTCAATATGCAGAATTATTGGAGCCATCGGTGAGTTCTCTCTCTTTCTCTTTCGTTCTAAAAAAACATTCTAATCCGTAGCCACACCATTGGCTTTTGGGCGGCTTGACCTTGAAGCCTTCAATCCAAGCAATCACAATAAGAGTTCCCCGTTTTTCGTTCGCAATTCGCCATCTTTGAGGGTTGCAGGAAACAATGGGAGTACTGACCACGAGAAGCTTCTCTTGACGAGATCAAACCAGGGCGAAAGGGACGATCAAAATTGATTTGCGGGGTGCAATTTCGTGCAACACCTGCGCGTTCGGTTGCCTACGTGTCAATATGGCATTGGGCGTTGACCACAAAATCAGGAAAATCTAAAGTATCAGTAACTTTATCCTAAATGTTCTTAGCTATTCGTAGTAGTACGTTCTTTACAGTTATACGTGGACGTGGGCCGGATCATGATCGTTGTTTCGATCATCAGCATGATCCTCTCGGTCTACGCCGTCTACGCGCTCGTCAACGAGTTGCGATGTGGAATTTATTTCGTAAGTGCTTCACCATACCTCAAAATGTACAGCAAATTTTATAGTACGGCGTCGGCTCGATTGTCACGTTCCTGATGCTGTTCCTAGGCGGCATCATGGGATTCGTGTTTTGTAATAAAGTAAGGAAGTCGTGAAGATATCGAGGTGTTGATAGAAAAGGCTGTAGCGCACCGTAGCGTTGCGTATTCTACGTAGGTCAGGATCGCGTATTGCAGCGTAGTTGCTTTTTTACTAGTTGCGTCGCGTCGCGTATCAAAGTGGAGGAGCGTACCCTTACCCTGCCTGGCGCAGCGTAGTTTTGCGTATCCTTGCGTAACGCTACTCCTTTTCCTGCGAAATAAATCGATTAATTTTGCAGTTGACAGTCGAGATCCCGCTCGACCTCAAGATGTCGACCTCACTGCGGGAACTCTATGGGTCTCCGGAGATGCCGAAGGTCAAGGAGGCATGGGACGAGTTGCAGTTGAATGTGAGTTCAAGCGAACTTTTTATGGATACTTGAAGATGAGGCTTACAAAACCGACTAACATAAAAACTAAAAATAATAAGAAAACAATAAAATTAAATAAAAAATAGTATGCCATTTAGTTCCGCTGCTGTGGTGTCAACGGGACCGACGACTACAGTATGTGGCGGACATCAAAGTGGTATATGCACCAGAGGACGGAGAAGATCCCTGTCCCTCATTCATGGTGGGTTTATTACCAGTTGTAGTCATGATTAACTTGCTGTCGCTGTGGCTTTGAACTATGTCAAAATTCATGCAGTTGCTTCCCCGGCCAATATGAAGCATGTATCCGGGAAGCCAATGGGCTCGGGGAGCCTCGGTTTCTCTACACCGACACGTGCTACGATCCCCTAAAAGCGGATCTCCTGAATGTGGTCGAGGTGGCGGCATGGATGCTGGTTGTCAGCAGTTTTGTCCAGGTTAGTTGCTGTGATTACAAAATGGTAGGGTTAAACAAAATGACAAGGGGCTGGGAAGTCAGATCCGCGCTAAAACTGTTCACGATGATCCTAAGTCCTCGTGATGCTTTCAGGCTAGGCTATCCAAATAGGCAAGGTGCAGCCTCGAATTTTTAATGACATTCTTACTCTAACAATTATGCCGCAGCCGCGAAACGCAACGATGTCGCACTAAACACGCGGTAACGCAGCGATGGCCTAGCTAGCGTGGGCGCCGCCTGTCGCGGGGGGGGCGGCAAACAAGTATAACCTATAGAAAGCCATAATCCATAATATCTTTTAAAGAAACTTAAAAGGATAAGATTAGACTTGACGCATTCGTTAAAGGTCCTGGCAACCCGATTCCCAAAGAATCTTTGCTAGCCTTCTTGTTAGATCTTGTCCTTGAACTGCTCCGAGTTGGGCTTATCGTAGCGATTAATTTTCCGACGGAATTTTAACATTTTCAGGGCGTCCCCGCCGTTTTGGCCATCTTCTACGCGCGATTGATCAAGAAATGAACGAGCCGTCCCTCGACATTGACTCGAATTTTGTAAATTAGCTCGATTGATGCTGTAATTTTGTATAGAATCCACCCTTTTTTGAATCCCTGAGCTTTACCCGACGGGTTGTAAACTGCCCTTAACGTTTTTTTTATAATTTTCCCCCGTTGCTCAACGCCCCGAAACGGTTTACGGTGATGTGTAGACAATTATCGAGCTTTACCCCTTTTTATATGTCATTTTATTCAGGTCTTTAGGTGGGATTTGATCGATTCAATTTTAGGCTTAAAAAATCAAGAAGAATCCATTAAATCCCATTTTTTACTTACAAAAATATCCCGGTGAACCCTGTGTCTCTTTTTGGTCATTTTCTGGTCTCCGAAAATTAGTCATCTCTATCTCTTCTTTTTGATTTTTAACAATTGTTAAACAGAAAATCTTTTTCTTGTTTAGGCAAATTTTTTCTGTTTAACTAATCTAATTAGTTTCGACAGTATCCCCTCTTTTTCAAATTCAAATTCTAAACAACTACCAAAGTCTTGAATTATTCCTTCCACCCTAGCTATTCCATTACTGTACGTTGTCGTACATCTTACGCTACCGTACTCCGTACACTACCGTACTTCCCCACCCACCGACATGTCGACGTGCCTTACCGTACCCTGCAATAGTCACCGTTTATTATTGTTCTATACGCTGTCCATGATAATAAACGAAATATAAAAAAGTGTTAATAACACCGAAAAATTTCCCGAATTGCGTGAAGCGCGTAAAGGCAGTGATGGAGAATGGGCTTTAGCAAGAAAAGGAAGCACGCAATAGAAAATACTTGAAACAGATCAATAAAATAATTAAATGGAAGATAATATCTCAAAAAAATTAATCTACACATTATGAGCGAGAAATTACGATTCGAGGCAATGTTGAGAGGGGAAAATGGCACACTCGGGATGGAGAGAAAAAGTACGTAATAAAAAAAAACAGGTTTGTCATGAAAATTTTTGTGGAATGATATTTGTGCCGCGGAAAAAGCAATGGCAGTTAGGAGGTTAGTTTTCAGGGCTGAAAGTTTATATTTGAGATTAATCCTTGAAAATATCTATTCTTTTGTTTATCACCACCTGGTGCGTCATTAATTTATCAACTCTAAAGGAACCGTGTAGGCAAACTATGCATTTGTCTGGATATTATTGTGACATTTGGAACAGCATCAGAAATAATCTAACTTTATTCATTTTTGCCTTCATGATTCCTTTAAAATCGCATTTTCAATATAGCAGGGCCTGCTATTTTCTAGAAATATGGAATCTAGCTCTCCAAAACCTACTTCAAGCACGGCATTACATCCGAGCCGTGGCTTCCCTGACTTTGGCTTGAGCCGGAGCGGTTGGCTTCATCTGGGGGAGACACTTGAGGTGGCTCCTCAATAGAAACGGCAGGTTCAGTGATTTGTAGGGAAGGCACCTGAAAGCTTTTCATTTTTGAATTTTTACCCTATTACATCGCCCAGACACACTGTTTTTACCACCTAGTAATAATTAGTCTCACAGACTTCCGAAAAGTCCAAGTATCGATAAAGCTTTCCAAAAACAAGTTCATAAACCTACCTGTAACTGAGGCGGAACCGGTGATGTCATCGTCCTGATCGGGAAGACAGATGACTGTTTGGGTTGTAGCTGGGCAGGTGCTTTGATCTGGATTGGGATTGGCGCTGGCTGAGCTTCAACTGGCGGATGTGATGGTTGGCGAGCCGAGGTTGTCGTCAGGTTCAGCGGTGCAGGTCTTGGTGCCGGCTGGGTGACAAGTCGCACCAATGGTTGGGTTGGTCTTGAAGTGGAAGGGCCGGATGGCGGTCTAAAGTCATAAACTAGAATGCATAAAAGATAGTGTTTATATGCCAACGCTATTTACTAATTACTTGAAGATCTACCTATTACTCGGCGCCTTCACATGTTGAGCCGGCGCTCTCGTATGGTTCATGCTCATCCGAATCACCTGAGGTGGTGCTGGCCCGACGGCAAAGGTCGGAGGTTGTCGCTGCTGCTGGGCCCCGGCTTGATAATTCGGGAGGACACTAGCAAGGCTCAGCGGTGGGCCCATCAGGATTTGAGGTTGAGTTATTCGCTGGGCTTGAGGTGGAGTTATGATTGGGGCTGTCGGGAGGGGCGACGGCATTGGTGGGATCACGGGACGTTCTGGTGCTGGGGCCTGGAAATAACGTAATTTTAAAACCAGCAGTGATTTCCGATCCCTCTCTCCTGTTCTCTCGCTCTCTCTCTCACTCTCTCTCGCTCCCCGCTCCCCTATCTCCCACCTGTGGCATACTCCCCATCAGCGACGGATCAGGCGGCGGCATCGGCGTCAACATAAATCCAGCCGGTACAGAAAATGCCTGCACATTCCATTGGTTTGTCGCCTTATCGTGTATCGGCACAAATTGAGTGTTCGTCAATGGTGGTGCTACTGCCCCGGTAGCGACTTGATGTTGTTGTACAGCCATCATCAGCTGCTGTTGGAGTTCCGCTTGTTGGTTCCATGAACCTCTGGACGAGGTTGGTGGCATTGTCGCTTGGGGTGGGCGGTGCTGGTTTTGTGGCTGGGCTCGCTGTTGTGATGGGGGAGGTTGATGACGTCCTGGTCCTGGGAAATACGGATTTTAAGGGGACTGGGAAACGTGAGGTTCTACTCTCTTGGCCTACTAGATATCGACATTTTTCGAATTCCATAAATGCTAGTGAATCAGCAAAAACAAACGTTTTGGTTCACCTAAGGTCATATTCCGAGCAGTACTGTTGGCGCGATTTGTCTTTGTGCGGATATAACGACACAGACAGGCAAGAGATAATATTATGCTTGTTCTAACTCTTTTGCAAGAACCGTTGAGTCGTTAGTTTAGCAATTACGCTAAACTACAAACTACAAACCTGACGGCACCGCAGCGGGTTGTCGGATTGGGCCCGGGACCGCGGTGATCGGTGGAGTACGATTGATGCCAGAAGGTCCTGGTGTTTGTTGCTTTGGCGTACTCGAATTTGAGTGTGCCGGCGGATTCTCATTCCTATGGACGGGCTTATTCTGTGGTAAGCCGCCGACTGGCTGAACAGGCGTCTGTTGCATGGCCTGCCTGCGGAGGTGCTGGAGCTGCATTTGGGACATCTGAAAAATGTAGGTTTCAACGTTTTGAGGTGAAATTTGCTAGCTTGCCAGTCTCAGGAGTTTGAAAAAACCAAATTTACAAGGTTACCTGGCTATTCGGGATAAATCCAGATGTATGAGGTCGAATTTGAGGCAGCTGACTCGTCGTCGGCGTCGACGGTCCCGGAGTAGAGCTCGAGCTGTGTGGTTTGGGAGTCGGAGGCGTTGGAGGGGTCAGAGGTGTCAGCGGTACACTTCCGGGTGGTCGAATCGGATTGTCGACGGAATCACGACGTTCTGTATTCGGTGGGTCAACCTGGAAAAGTATAATTTTTAAGGTATTGGTAAATTACGTTCCACGGCTTCATAGGGTTTTTCGATTTGATTGACTTGCATACTGACCTCCATTTTCTGCTCATCATTTCCTTCCTTCTTCGCTCCCATCGGTTCAAGCGTACTTGGTCCCTCCATAGGGTCATCTTCATACGGCTCATCGTACGATTCTTGAGACAAGAGTGGAGCCGCGCCGTAATCACCGTCAGAATCGGAATCTTCTTCCATTTTCTGATCAGCCTGGATTGGTGTTGGAGCTTCAGATGTCGCGCTGCTACTTGTAGCTTTTTCCTGAAAAGATTGTGATAACTGTGAACCTAAAAAAGATTGATTACCTCTTCCGGCTCCTCCTTTTTGACCTGAGCCTGGTAAAATTCGGCGATTTTTGCCTCCCTTGGTAGCATTTTAGCCACGTATTCGCGTGGGGTTAGAGGGGCGTCTTCTTTGCCTTCGCGTTTTACAAATTGATAGACCAGCTTCAGCTCTTCCGCTTTGTTAGACCAGATTTTGTTGCGGATCTGAAAAAGTTTCAAAGTTAATGAAGTTAAATTCCTGAACTAGTAAGTCAGGAGCGCGAGAGAGAAAGAGAGAGAGAGAGAGGGAGAGAGAGAGAGTGAGATGAGGTCTATTTTTGAAATATCTAAAGAGACAGAAACAGTGCAAAAATTCCTTACTTGTCCCACTGTGGCATCCGGCGATAGAATATTCGTCGTTCCGCAGCCCGTAATTAGGAGCGCAGCGTTGCCCTGGTCCTCTATTTGTAAGGGGACGGCCGCTTTTTGCTTGATGTCCGGCTGCGGTTTGCTGATGGCCGGCTATAATTTAAGAGTTTTTCTTCAACGCCGGATTTACCGTCTCGGCTAGAACTTGAAACGCCGCCCCGTCATTCCCACAGATCAGCCCGCGCTTCAACAGATTTTGCGCAAAACTCGCGGCATTTCCATTGAGACTGGGCGGCTAAAACTAGCGGATTTAGCTTTAGAATTTGTAGCAACCAAGCGTTAATAGATATCATTGAATTTCATATATTTTTAATCAGCCTGTGCCAAGTTTCCCTGATAATGTGTTAGGTGGAAAATTTGTTCGCACCATGCCTGAAAGCTCAGCGGAAGCGGAAGTAACGAAAAACTCACATTACTCGGCTTCACGGCTGGTTTTCCGTTGCTATGAGGCATGGCGATCGGCTAAACAGGTGACGGTAATTTTTGTATGCCTTTGGAAACATACAGAATTCTCCTGGGTGTGCATCTTCGAATCGCCGTTCATCCCCTGGCTTGGAGCCAACGAGCTCATTCTGAGCACCATGATATCACGAGCTCGGACGACTTGCAGGACGGGTTTGAGCACGAGGGTGTACTAAAACAGTTATATTAACTGATCAAACTTTAAATTTAAGCTCATGCTCAGCTTGAGCATCCTTTCTTGAACTAAATGAACGAGTCAACGCTTTTTAACTTACCACATCACGCCTAAACGGCATGCCCTCAGTCCGCTCGATCGTGTCCATCATGTAGTCGAGAAGCTCGGATACTAAAAAGGCTAGAATTACGAAATCACTGCTTAAAAATATACCTCTTATCGTATTTGGCACTTTCAAAAAGAAGGGGTGTAAATCGAGCGCGGAAAATCCTGAAGGCAGCGAGCTCGAGCTCGGGTAGATGCTCAGGGCCTGTGGATCAGAATCGGAAGGTGACTTCTTGGCTTCGGACTTTCGGATTTCTTCCCGGAGCTGAAAAGACGGAAATGGATGCTTCATTTTGATTACAGTAATACTAGTCCTGTCAGGGTATCCAATTCTCACCATCCACAACGCTTCCGCCGTCCAGCGCTGCGAGGTCTTCGGCTCTTTCAGGAATTTCTCGTATAGCTCGTCCATTTTTTCGAGCTTTCTGAAAAACAATACTCCTAAAAATGATCTTTTTCTTACTTTTGTCGTTCCTTATCCTCTTCGGTCACGATTCGCGGCATGGTTTTCTAAATTTCGGCATTAACAGGATGTTACAGCTGATTTTAGATGCTAAGTAAGTTCAACCTACCAAGAATTGCACAGCCTTCTTTGCCATTGAAGAAAGGTGAATGAGCCTAAAAAGCGTCTTAAATCAGCAAAAATTGGCCTACTTTTCTTCTTTTCGCACAGCAACAGCGGCCTCTCGTTCCATTTGATCCTAGGAAAAATTTGATTAGAGATCACCGTGCATTATCGTACCCCGAGTTTTCTTCTCCGTTTGGCCCAGCGTGATTTGGCAAATTCAGTCGTAGGTGGGCGATGCTAAAATTCACAATTTACTCAGCCAGAGCATCTTCCGGGCAAGGAAAACGTTATCTCCACTTACACCCAGCATCTGGGGATCGCGGATTGTGTAATTTGAATAGAACTCCGGGCGGCGGAAGATGATTTTGGCGGAGGAGTTATCCAGGAGATTTGGGTTTGGGCTAGTGCCGATCTGAAATATTGACGTTATGTTGATAGAATTTTTCTTAGTTTTAGATACCTCATAGCCATGATTTAAAACAATCAAATCAACGTTCAAGTGAAAAACAACTTACAACAGGACAAGCTTTCGGCAACCTCTCCTCATCCAAACTGGCCTGCGCGGTGTCGATTGCTTGTTGCACTTTTCTTTTGTTGGCTAAAATAAAGTTTTATTTCTTCAATTTAATCTTGATACTGACCATCCAACTGAAGGATCATCACCTTCGTCTGCCCAGGCTTAAAACCAATCTGAAAATATCAGGGATACGAGGTTTTGAAGCGCTTACAGTTGCCTTTGACTGTCTTAAATTTTTTTCTTACTTCCTTGATAGCCTGATCAACTGCCGGGCACGGCTCAATCTCCGTAGTCATCATCAAAAATCTGGGCCTCTGTTTGGCCTGACATCGAGATCCGGGGCATTGCAAAAAGTTCGATTTGTACGCCTTGCCGTAGCAATCGAAGCAGAAGAAGCAGCCACAGCCCTGGAAAATACATTAATTGCCAAAACTCATTTTATTGGATTGATATCGGCAATTTTTTACATTCATTTCCACAAAATTTGTGTAAAAATTCATTTTGATATTAAGAATCATAATTTTTAAAGCCATGAAAGCCCGGTTTCATACCGTAATTTGCTATATAATCACCCTAAATTTAGCCAAACAGTAGAAGTTTAGCATGGATGAATCCGATTACGACATGGTAAACAAAACACTTGCGAAATTGACACCTAACTTTCTAAGACAAAAGTATACAGAATTCAGAAGTCAAATTCGAAGGTTTTTCTAAATATTGATCTGAATAAAAGCTTGCCTTGAGCTATAATAAGCTTCACCATTAAAATTTCAAGAAACGGTCTAATTTCTAGAAGTTTTTATCAGATTCTAATAACCCACTTTATGTTTGGCGGCGGTTTTGACGATCCTGTGGCACATTTCACATGTGCACAGGTCGATCAGGGCTGTCAGATCCATTTGAGACGCCCGTTTCTGAAAAATAACGATATTTTTACAAAAACTACATGAAATAAGGGGTTATTGCCGGGGGGCGTTTGAATTACGAGCCGGGGGCTGGGCCGATTGGCCGGGCGGAGGGGCGCGGGGTCTGGGTGTTGTTTGTAGTCCCCAGGACTGGGTTTGGGGGCCGGGATACGGTAGGCGACCCCTTTCGCGGCAGCCCCCCGAGAGCCCCCTGGGAATGCTGGCAGCAATGGGATTTTTGGGAGGGAGTGACGCGTGTTGGAAGATTTAGGGGCTGAGACGGCGGTACAGAAAGCACGTTTTCGCCATTTTCAAAAATTGGAATTTGCTAAACGACGGGAATGACTTCAGTGCCAGAATATCCAGTTTTAGGTGATTAAATTCGATTGCGCAAACTGTTTCAAATATGGTCAAAATTCCATTATATGTTTTTCAGCCATAAATCCTCGGATACGTCGAGGATTTCTACCAAATTCTGCGAAAGCTTGGCCAAGGGGCTGTACTACTGTAGCATTTTTGTAAAGTGGGAATTGCCGTTGCACCAGATGCTTAAAGGAAAAGTCCAGCAACTAAACTTTTTGTTAGGAATTTGCAAAACTCAAAAATATGCATGGAGTGTTTCACGGGATTGAAAACCCCCGACTATCACGGCTATGACGCGAGATCTGATTTTAAGCTACAATAAACTAGTATCGTAAACAAAACAAAATACAGCTAAAATCGGAGGGTAGTGTAGTAAATATGTAGCAAGCAAATGTAGCCAAATGCCGATATTTTAAAGTTATTATTCTCTTTAGCCAAATCTACCTGAAGGCGCTGCAGGCGATTTACTCGAAGCCAGGTCTTTTTTGTCAAGCGCTAAATAGATTCCAATTTTTGGTCGTTTACCACTGATTAAAAAAAGCTGAAGATCCACAGAATCGATGCCGTGTGTTTCATAGGTACAGCTATGCACCAGTTCAATCCACGTTTACAGGCAGGTAGATGATGCCTTTCTGCCACTGTCCCGCCAAGTAGCGTTCAGTTGCCAATTTTGGCATTGTTCCCACTTATTCTTTGCTAATCTTCGTTTAGCGTGTATTAAAGCAAAGCAAGTTTCAAATAAAAGTAACAAAAAAGCGGACTGGAAACACGATGCAGAATAACCGAGGAAGTGAGCAAGACAAGAGCACCAGAGGCAATATATACAGTAGACCTCCCGAAGTCCCCCCCCCCCCAAACCCCACTGGTTACTCTCTACTCGATTGACCTATCTTAATGCCGAGCTTTTTTATACATTACAGAAATTCGCTTTCGGGTGCTGATTGTTTGTGTTCTATGCACTGCTGTAGTTTTTCGTAAAATCATTCGAGTACATTCTAGAACCGTCAGTCATCCGCCGAAGACGTTTAGAAAGTAGACTTAATAAAGTTCTCATATAATGCAAGATTACGCTACAAACTCCTCGGCTCAATGGTCCATCGATGCTTATGTTACAGGTAATTTTGCATCTTCTCTGATGCTAGATACCTGTTCGTCGAAGAAGTTCCAAATCATCATTTTTTCTTTTTTACTTTTCCGCATTTTCATGTTGTTCCCTTTTTTTGTTGTGGTCATCTTGCTCCCGGCTTTTTCCTGCTTGATCGTGAATGTCTCTCAAAAACACAGATTTGGCTTCACGCACCTGTTTTCTCTATTTTCGGGGAGGGGCTCGAGCCAGGAGGGGAAAGTACTCGAGTCTAATTTTTGGGCGCGCGCTGTTCTCCCTTTAGGAGAATGAGTCGGCTCAAAAAAGGAGCAGCAGCCCTAGGCAAAAGCGGGGAGAGAAGAAAGAAAAATGCTTGGGCTGACATTGCAGAAACAAGCACAACACACGAAAAAATGTTTTTCCCTTTCATGTTTTCTCAAATTTGATGTTTCTCTCTCTCTCTCTCGCTCCCTCTCGCCTCGCGTGGCTTTTCCGCCTCGGGCGGGCGCCGTTCTTCCCGGATTTCGGGTGGGAAAATACGAGAAGAAAGGGTGCAAAAGAATGGAAAAGAATGGGACAAGAGCAAAATTGCGCCTTTCTTGTCTGGTTTGGCGCCGCAGGGCTTGGCGGATAGCCGATGACTGGTGATCGCAAAAAACTGTAACATCCCAACTGTAAAGGAGCAACATTTAGAGAAAAGCTTCCGCTTGCCGATAATAGCTTGGATGTCTGCCGAAAGTTAGACTTCTTCTTAAAAACCCCTCATGATCTGCAGAACGGGGTTAAGCTAGATTTCCTCGCCGATTTGCATAACCGAGCCATCCGGCGTGTTTATAATTTGTCAAGGGGCGCGAATAGCGCGGGAGTGCTTTGCGCGCCTAGATCAGAGGCTGGCACCATGTGTTCCGGCGACGGCCCCATCTTTTGCGGTCTGCAACTGTCTAGGACCCCATTAATCGACTGCCCGAACAGCCATTAGATCGGCAACAGCCCAAAGTTGGACCCTGCATTGGAGTATGATGAGTTAGCAGGCGCTAACCGCCAGATGGTACCAGTCACGGTATGGGCTCTGGTGTCAGCCCTCTTGGGGACCACCGCATATGTGGCTTATCGTATCTTTCCAAGAAATTGTAATAAATAAAGTATGGTGATCACGCAATCAAGAATCAATAAACTAAAAGGTATCAGGAAAGTCTAAAAAATTAGAATAAAACGGACTTTATTTCTAAGACTAACATAAATCTTTTATGTTCCCTCCTGCCTCGGCCCACTTTCTGCTCTTTATTTCATTAGCATTTCCGGTTCGCTCGTGCATAGAGGAGTCCGGATTCTGATCCTTCCTTGTCCCTTCAACTAGCCGATGCAGAATTTGTAAGAATTTCGTATACTACAAGCGCTGTACAAACGCTTGTTTCGCCCCGGCTCCAGAGATCAATTGTTCGATTTCGGAAATCGTTTCTTTGTTGGGCTGGTGTGGCCGGGGGCTGAAGCCGAACCGTGTGATTCGATGGCCTCGGGCATGGCTTTGTCTTCGATTTGGCTGGGAGACGGGCAGCAAAAAAATTCCTTGCATCAGGGCGGATTTCCGAGACTTCGCTGCTTCTGGTCAAATAAAAACAGTCCGCCAGGCCTGGGCGCTGTCACTATAGAACCAAAATACTCCAATAAACCGGCTTGCGTTTCTACGCTTAACGATTGATGGCAGGCCTTTATGAAGTGATCATTAGATGTACAAGCAATTCAACGCTGTCATTTGAGAAACAAAACTATCAACCCGTAAGTCTTCCCTGGCAGAAGTATGAGCCGGCGGCAAAATTCACAGGGTCTTTGTGTCTCGCTCCCACCTCTCAGTTCGGAAGTCGTTAGGGCCCGGCGGGCAAGGCGGGCAACGATTTTCCGGAGTTTCAGCGAGACAATACTGTTGACGCACAGTCATCTTTTCAGACAAGGCTGTAAATTGAGACTGGAAATAGCGAGAGTAGATAGCACATTTTGGATTCGCCAGTTGCTAGAGTTAACACTAGAAAGACTGATGGCGCTAGGAGAGAGAGTGAGCGAAAGAGAGAGCGAGAGAGAAAGACAGAGAGACAGACAGAGAGACAAGAGAGAGAGACAGAGAGAGAGAGAGAGAGAGAGAGAGAGAGAGAGAAAAAAGAGAGACAGAGAGCGAGAAAGAGATGGTGATAGATAGTGCGAGATAGTGAGAGTGATGCTGAGCGCGAGCGTGAGAAAGAGAGAGAGAGAGAGAGAGCGAGAGAGAGAGAGAGAGAGAGAGAGAGAGCGGGAAAGCGAGGGATGGATTAAGACCCAGAAGTATCGCGTATACGAATCGGGCAAGCTAGCCTAGATTCTTAGGAGGAATCTCGTGTATCTCAGCGGTGTCATGCTAGCAGAGATCAGTTGATCGGATCCGACGATATGCTACACTACTGTACTCTCAAGCGGAGTAAGAGAGCTTCCTTTCTAGGAGCAATCGAGTAATGACCATTCCGAACCTCGCAGGAGCTCGTGGAACGGTTCCAATTTCATCCTTCTTTTTTTCTCGCTGTTGCCTTTCCACTCAGGCTAGCTAGCAGAGACCCTTTGTCCCATCCACCCTGTCTGTATTTTTGGGTGGGGGTGGGGCCACAGTGAAAGAGCGGGGTATAGGACCGGAGGGGGCAGGGCTCGTTGCCTGCCAGCCCCAGCCCGGGACAGTTTTCTCTCTCCATCTCTCTATCGCATTCTCCCCTTCCCATCCGTCCCAACCAACAGCCCCACCCCCCTCGATTCGGGACCGTCTGCCTCTGAGGGTGCCCAAGGGCAAAATCATTCCCACAGTCCCTCCCTCACTGCTCTGACTTCAACGTCCCTTTAAACCTTGCGAGATCAGCTTCCGTTTTTTGATCGTTACTTCCGGGGCCGGGGAGCCCAAGAATTTACGATGTTGTCCTCATGCCAGGACCGATCAGCTATCGATAGGTAAGTAATAATACGCTTGGAGACTATTGACGCCATACTGTAGCTTTAAAATAGGTGTTTTCTACTCTCAAAGCTCTTCCTAAGGCTGCAAAATAATATTTTATTGCCTAGCCAAGCAATAATCAAGACTTATTACACTTAAGTTCTTTTGACGATTTACTGTAGCTTAAAAAAATCAGTTTAATAAGTTTTTGTACACTTCTAAAGCCAGTTCTGCCCGTATCTATTATTAGGTTGGACCATAAGTTCGTACAATCGAACTTCGAAGATTTCTTTCTAAAATTTTTGTGGGCCGATATCAATGTTTCTTTCCCCCCATATTCGCTGAGGTTAATAGTATGTGTGATAAAATTTACAAGATTTTAGGCGCAGTAGTTTTTATTATTTTTGCGTTTCTCTAGGAAGCGTCGCAAATTTTTGACCCGGACATCTTTCAGGATCACCATAACTTTACCATAGCATAGAGGCGCCAGCAAAATAATACTTTTTAGCTACTATTTAGATGCAGAAATATGCAAAAAGATAAATCGGAACTGTTTTGGAAACAGCGGCCCGCAGTCATTTTCGGTTTTCTAGTAAATTACACTCAAAAAATTCTAAGGGAAATGGATTGTGATTTCGTCCCACGACTCGAAAAGAGAATTTGATTGTGCATACGTCAATCACTAAAACATTTTTTCCTGAACCGTTTTCCGGAACGAAAACATAAAATACTGAAAAATATTGCACGAACTTTCGGTCCAACCTAATACATTTTAACGTTATGACACGTTAATAATTACTTTTCGATATCTTTTACAAAAAAGACTGGAATTTTTTCTTAATTATTTAATTTTACGGTATCGGCTGATATATCACCTGTTTTCGACCCAAACCGCTTGCAAAAGTGCAGAAGCCCTCGGGCTACCCCATTAGAGAGAGGCCCAATACTACCGAAAAATACCTTAAAAATTTCTAGAAGTTTTCTACCATAGGATACCTTCGCTTTTTTAGAATATCCACCGCTCTGCAACAGAAAATCCAACAAAAACGGCCAGCGAGTCCAATCCTTTCGGAAACAGCTTCCAAGAAATCCCCCGTTTTCACCGCGGACCTCTTCAAAAATGAGCCCCCAACGTCGGTGATCGTCAACCCAGAGCCGCCACACTCTGATGCCGCCGAGGAGGAGCATTTTTCCGATTCGGAGAGCTCGGATCAGGTGCGTTTTCTAGGCTTTCGACAGGTTTCCGATGCCTTTAAAATACAGTAGCAAATCCCGGGGCTAAAAGTGATATGACCTGACGCATTCATGATACCTTTGCTAGGGCACGAATGAAGACTCCGGCTCGACTGAATGTATTTCGCCTGGTCCTGGGAATCCTGGAGACGTTTTTTGCTCGGTTCCTGGCCGCCTGTCACTATTGTCTTCTACCTCAAAGTACAAAGTTACCGTGGCTGAGGTTGGTATTTGGAGGAGCGTTACGGAATTATACTTTTACTGGTATTTTGGGGTTTTCACGCGTTTTCTTGATCATTTTTATCACTGAATCATCATTTTGTCCTCTCTAAAATTGGATTTTTTAGACCGTGCGTTATTTTATATCCGTTAAACTGTATTTTTCCTCTTTGATCTCTTATTCCTTATCACCTTTTACTCAATTTCCTTCAATTTCCCCAAATCCCCCAGTGAATTCTGCACTTTCCGCCCCCAGCGCGCCTGCGCGCGTTGCCATCTTCCGCTCTCGATCCCTCCAAAAAAGAAGAGCTCCTCTTTTCCCCGCGTAAAAAACGGCGTGTGCCCGTCGCCGCGGGGCACACGTGTGCGTCTACCCTCGCACTAGCGCGCGCCACAGAATTCCCGTGTTTGCGGTCCCGCACCCGCACGCACCTGCGGGTCCGCGCAACCAGCAGCAGCCCCGCGTCCTTGCATTTTCCCGTTTTCCGCCTTCCGTAAACGAAGAGGGGGCCCGGCGGGGCGCGTGTGTCCCAACGGCATCCAGGCCACCACGGCCAGCGCTTCTGCGTGAATGTGGCCGTCAGTTGGAGTGGGGTGGAATCTTTGGACCTATAGAGGGAATGAATAGTTGGGGGAAAGAAGGCTAGAGTTTAAGCAAAAGCGTAAGCCTAAGCCCAAGCTCCAGCCTAAGCGTAAGCCTAAGCGTAAGCCTAAGCGTAAGCCTAGGCGTAAGTCTAAGCCAAACCTAAGCCCAAGCCCAAACCTAAACCGAATCCTAAGCCCATGCCTAATCCGCTCCTATTCGAGGCGTTCACTTCTTTTAAAGGTACCGTCAAGATCCAAATTCCGTTCTCGCTGCCTTTGATGTATCAACACCATTTTTTTGCTCTATTTACCCCCGCTGGCCATTTCCCAATTCGTTGCGCGCCTGTGTTGGATCGACCGCGGTGGCGGGCAGCCCGAAATTGGGATCAGCCCAAGGTCAGGGTGGACGATTCCGGCATGCGGGGGCCCGAAACGAAGCTGACTCAGCCCCTTAGGCGGGGTTGACGAATTCGGGAGCGTTTTTTGGGGTGTTATTGACCATGTCGATGACGGGGGGTAGGAAGTACATGGCGATTTTTCCATCAGACTTTCGGGCAGTTTTAAAGGGGCTGGGAAGGCAAGAATCCTCGGATAGTCGAGCCGTTGGGAACCTCGGAGAAAGCTAGAGAGAAAGAGAGAGCGTGTAAAAAAGATGGAGAGCGAGTGAGAGAAAGATAAAGATGACTCTTAGCATCTCTCCAAATCACGATTTGCTTCCCTGCCCCTTTAATTACCATCTTTGGCACCGACCCAAAAACTCTTCCCTTATCACTCCGAGAGATAAACAGTCGATTTCGGGTCTGATCCGACCCAAAAAGCCCACCGATCACCACCCGGGTATGCCGAATTCCACCTCCCACCCGCCTGTGGGTGTTGTTTGTTTGCCGGCCCAAAAATGTTTTGCTTCGCCAACCAACAGTCCTTTCCACCACCCCCCCAGCTGCCCAAAATGGGTCAGCCTCCTCCTCTTCCTCGGCTGTTTCGTTTTTCTTCCTTAGAAACTTCACCCTCGGGAAAACAGAGAAAAGTGACGAGGAGCCAGGCCTTGGGGGTGTTGCGCGAAGGGGGAGAACTGTACGGCCTGGTGTTGCGGAAAATCAGGTGGATCCGGGTGGTGAGGGAAAACAAAAAATTCCCTGAATTTTGCTGGAAGAGGAAAGTGAGGAATTGGGATAAAAAGTGAGGGAACTGGGATGTAATTTTGCAATATAAATGATTTTTGAGCTTTCAAAAACCAATTTCATTGCGTAATCGGTTTGCTTTTGGTTTTTAGCGAATTTTTACCGATTTGATAAGACTGATTATCCCCCAAATTCCGTTCTGTTTTCTCGAAGCGCCCCGAGGCTGTGATGCCATTCCCCATCCTGGGCCATGTGATCTCACAGACCCGAAAAAATCGCTATCACCGTTTTTGGGGTTGGTTGCCGGCAGGCATGGCAGCTCTTCTCCCCCTTCAGGCTGGCCCTTCTTCATGTTTGCATCTACCTTCCTCTCTTCTTTGGGCCCTTATTTCGCCATTTTCTGCCCGGGGCTTCTTATCACCAGCTTTCGAAGCGGAGCAGGCAGCCCCCCAGGGCTCTGCCAACAATGGCTCAGCTATCCCCGCGTGTGTTGCGTGTGCCCACGGAAAAATGCTGAAACTGCGCCCGGGGGGAGGGGATGGTTTTGTGGAAAATTCGGGGCTGGTAAACAGGGGCGTATGCGAATTTTAGGCAAGGAAAAATTAGGGATTGAAATTGAAAATGATCGAGTCCGATCATCTAGCGGCCCCGTTAAGATGCATCACAGGGGCTGTTATTTGGCGTAGTGTATTGTACCGTAACGCAGAGTATCGTCTTGTAGCTGATAGTATTGTGGCGTACGTAGTTACGTAACGCAGAGTTCTTATAGCGTATCGTAGTCTCGTTCGAATCGTATCATTCGAAGCAGCGTACATCTCGTGGCGCACAGTAGCATAGATGTTCGATGTACTTGATGGGAGCGTCAAATTCTGAGGAAATTCATAGCATAATCGTTTAAGCCACTGCCATCTGGAGTACGTTTTGTACTAAATTTGTTGGTCCAATCACTCAATTTTCCCGGCCCTAAAGCGAAACTTTTGTATTCAACGTAGCGCCTGGTCTCGGGTGTTTTTAATATCGCTGCAGGCGGTTCAAGCGCCGGGCAGACAATCGAAATGTGCCCTTTTTGGTGGTTCGTGGTTAGGGAGGTCATGGAAAATCAAAGCGTGGAATTTGGAGAAGAATTTCGAGTCAAAATAGACTGATTTGGCTGGTGGTCATGCTCGTTCTAGCTGTTTTTAAGGAGACTTTATAACCCAAGAATCGGAACTATACGAAACACTCCTAGGGCCACCGCAAAAAACGATCCGAGCCCTGTCTAGGCTGACTATATATTTGCATCCAGCGATGATTCTCCCGGTTTGATGGACAGTCAAAACTAGCGCCTCAGCCCTCAGGCCATATCGCCTTGGAACTATCTTCCCTGCCTCCTTTTTTGTCTTCTTCTTCTTCTTCCTTCGATCGTTTTTCCCATTTTTCCGGCGCCTGAGGCCATCGATTGGCAGCAGCCTGCGGGCGGGCGCGCCGGGCCCGGGCCGCCGTCGGGGGTTTTGCCAAAAAGCGAATCACTACATTTTCCAGCACACACAGGCCCCCTTCGAAATGCGGGAATGGAAAACGGGGGCCTGACTGTCCCCCCTGGTTCTCACAGCAGATCGTTTCGCATTTAAATTGGACTCGATTTGGGGGGGGGGACTGGGTGGTATTGATGCCTGGGGCGAAATATTGGAAAAGCGGAAGTTCCGGCGCTAGCACAGTGACCATTTGGCTTTAAAGGGAGCGCAACAGCCAGTTGTTCTGAATTTGGATCCTTAAAACTCGTCAGCCGCTGTAGTTAAAAGTATCTGTAATGTTAAATTAAGGGCAGTGTGGTATCTAGGTTATCGCTCTCTCGATTGACGGAAATCTGAAAACCCTATTAATTTCGTTTGATACCACAGAAAAATTACTACTATACCTAGAGGTTATTTTTACAAATCTTTATTCCTTTCATATTCTCTGTCATTTTTCTGATCCAAAAGTGTTGTGTAATGAGGTATTCATGCGGAATTGAATGGTATCCTGACAGCTGGATATTTCTTTATGAATTTTTTAGCATCACAGCCCAACCCTACAAAATGACATGTAGCCCAAAATATGGCCAGCACCCCAAATGGCCAGTGTTTTTCCGGGTCAGCCCTCCGAACACATGCCCTCCGGGCACAGATGCTCGCCAAGGTCGCTTCTTCTCCTATGGGGTGTTGAAAAACGGAGAACCCGAGGTCCGAGCGTCGCGTATTCAAACTGGTCCCAGGGCAAGATATATCGAATTCGGGGGTTGGCAGTCTGCCAAATAATTTTTTCCTCCTTTACTACTTTGGTTTGGTGCCAAAACTGAAAATTCCTTAAAAGATCCACGCGGATCTCCCCGATTTGACTTCTCCACAACTTTTCGTTTCTCCACCGATTTGCCATGGGCAGCCGACCAGCCAAAGAGCCCGATGGGTTTTCGGGAAGCGAAAATTTCCCTCAAAATCCCATCCGGGAGCCGATCGGCCCGGTCGGCCCGGGCAGCCAAGCCATTCTTCGCGCGCGCAGGCGCCCGGAGAGAAAACTCTTGAGGGGGCCCCGGCGAGAGAGAGATATATAGAGAGTGAGAGAAAGAGAGCGAGCGAGAAAAGTGCCTAAAAAGAAGTGCCATGGTCCGCGGTGCTCTCTCTTTTTCCCGGGACGATCCTCCTCTTCCTCTCCCCATCCAACTCCTCCGGGGCTCAGGCGAGCGGGTGGAAAATTTTTTACTCACCCTTGGGGAACTGTGTGTGGGGTGTCTTTTGTTATCCGGGGGACTGGAGGGGGAATCTCTCACTATTGCACGGCAATCCCGACCATTTTTCTAAGTTGAGGGGGAAGGGAGGAGAAGGAGGCTCTGAGCGGAAATTGTCGAAAAATTCCTGAAAGACTATAGAAATCTTAAAAATTGACTTTCACCGCTGCTAGCCTTTTTGGGACGTTAGAAATCTGGAATTGGGAAGCCTGAAGATGTATGCTACGTTACAAGCCTATGAACGCCGAAGTTCTTGCGTGTTCTAGCGTACTATGAAGGGTTTTGCATGCCCTGCGCGGATTTTAAAGCCAGCTCGGACACAGAATCATAAATATTTGCAGTTCCGAAGTTATCAATGACGTTACACGTCTATTTACGTCGTGCATATCCTATGTAGTACGGAGGTTTTACATGCATTTCAACCATTTTTGTGCATTTCAAAGACGCTGTTGAGCTGTCAAAGCCAAAATCGAGCTTTCTGCTGCTTCGTCACTGCAATCGCCCGCTCCCGGGTGACTCGCCCGAGGTCTCGACGTGCCCCGAAAAACGATGGGGCCAAACAAGTAAACCTCGCGCGAGAGCGGGCGCGCGAAACGTGGACGGTCAACATTTCAGGGCAGGGAGCCCCGGCCGCTGCGGGCTGTTTTTGGGGGGTGCTTTGAAATGGGGATGCGGGTCGGAGCATCACGTGTTTAACCCTGC